AACTGATTGGATTATGCTTTTATTGAGGATGTTCAATGATGATCATAATATTCACAAATGAAATAGTGGAATAAATTAATCTAGTTTAGGTCAGTTGCTTGGAAATTTGACTCTAAAGATGAGATTTATTTACCTTCAACGACACCCAAACTATAACATGTTCTTCTCGATGAACTTAAGAAATTGAATTTGTATATCCAAGAAATTAATATAATTATATATGTGTAATAAAGTTGAGCTATTCCACTAAAGCAATTGGTCATAGAGGTAACTCAAAAGCTCTGGCTTTATGAATAGATTACATTCAAACTATGACATTGATCGGATTCCTGACAATTCGGTGTTCGCTCCATTGTAGTTGTCAAGTCAAAAAAGTTTTGCTTTTAGACCGATATTTCGGCACTACCTCTATTAAAGAAGTCTACGAAGCTTGAAAAAATGGAAGATTTTAGAGAACGAAAATAGAAGTGTTTTAAAAGGTCTAGCAATTGAGTATGTTAGTTGCATCATTTTGTCTGCATCCGACTAAAATGTCAAGCTGTGAAAAAAGTGTGTCACAATGTTCATATGGACAAAGACAAAGAAGGTAGCTCAATGAAAAAAAAACCATATAATTTAGGAAGCCAACCTAAAATCACCCCGTCAACTCTTGACACTTGTCAATGAATCATAACTTTGAGAAATTAAAAGAATAATGGATTTTTTAACATTCCAAAAACTAAGCTAGTGACTAAAGTGTAAAATTTTAAAACTTCCTGACTAATTTGGAAAAATTGAAAAGTTGAGGAAGTTAATTTGAAATTATTGGTATAGGTTGATTTTCAAAGTTTGAAAGAGGAAGGGGCATAACGGTCATTTAGCAAGGAAATGAATATAAAATTCATTACTTGGGTATTATATATCCACGTGAAAGGGAAATGAGGGGTAACAAGGAAATCTAGAATTCTCTTCATCTTTCTTCTTCTCTTCTCCATCGTGAGCTCCATAACTAAGGTAATAATTCTTTCAGTTGGTTATTTCTTGTAATTTATGAGTGGTTTGGATTCTTGGAGTATTAGGAAAGTTTGAGAAAGCTTAAAGAGAAGTAAAAACTAAAAGAATTACAAGTGGCGGGTGATTAAGTAAAGGGGGTTTTTGAGTGAATTGATGAGAAAGATTTATTAAATGGATTTTTAACTCATATTTGACTTGTCATAAACTGGAATAAGAAATCTATAGTGTTAGATATGGATTTGGGACATGTTGATTAATTGGTATGATTTTGGGTTCCAAGTATTCTAGTGAGATATTGGATATTTAGATGTGTTAAAAGTGATATAAGTTGATTTGAATAAGTGTAGCTGAATTTAAAGGCTTTAAAGGAGAGTAAAATGAGAAATTTATCTAAGTTTTGGAAAAATTTCGGGTTAAAATGAGTAAGTTTTGGGCAAAAGGTATTGGTACTGAATGAACAGTACCGATACGTTAGAGCAAAATGAGTAAAATCTGAGTGGGTATCGATACTGTAAGAATAATATCTATACCATAAAGTAAAATTTGATGAATGCTTTAATCAGTATCAATACTGAAGGAGTAGCATCGATATCAAGGGTATCGATACTAATGGAAAAGTATCGGTACCATTTTTAGAAATGTAATTCCAGAATCTAGAAAGGGTATCGATCTGAAGAAAAGTATCGATACTACAGTAAGGAAATATTGGTACTGTACCTTGGGAACTGATACTATTCAGATGGAAATTGAGAATTAAGTGCTTCGTTTAGCTTATGTTATTAAGGATTGATTATAGTGATACAAATTTTTGATATTTATAGCAATCGTATTATTGTGTAGATATTGAACGAATGCAAGTTTAGAACGATTCTAAGACATAAGATCAATCAAGAGTGTTAAGTGTTTTGCTTGACTAAGTGAGGCCAAGGTGAGTACATATTACTATGATATACGATTATATGGAAATAAGACTTGCAATAAGTCTATTTCCAATGTTTTGGTTTCATGATTTCATGAATACTAGTATATTGTTGACATGGTTTATATGTGTAGATGAATACAAGCATATGTCTAAGTGTTATATGCATTGTTCTACATGATCTATGTGTTACATGTCATCCTACATGTTACATGACTTATGTGATTACATGAAAAGGTGATATAAGCTATGTGGCATTTAACGACATGATTATGTGAAAATATGATATAAGCTATGTGACATGATCTATGTGACTAATTGTCTATATGATATAAGTTATGTGAAATAGTATAAATGATAAAGGTCGAAAGTATGTGATATGAGAGCTAAAGGTATAATTGGCACGCCAAGAGTCGAGGGTTCTGTGCGGTCCTTCGGGACAACTATACGTGGTCATTCGGGACAACTCTACGCGGTCCTTCGGGACAATACTATGTGGCAATTCGGTGCAATTTCTACGCAACTTTTGGGTGTAATTTATACGAGCTGTGGTGGCAGCATTAGTGGATAACCTCAATGCACTCACATACCTTAAGTTCTCAATAATGTACCATGGGCTATTAAAAGAAAAGATATAAAGGAACAATGCATGATAATGATGGTATATATGCATGTATGCATTTTGTTCTATGATATATTCTATTGTTGTTGTATTATATGATTTTGTGAAATGCTCAGATTATGTTAAGTGTTAAAGGTTTTATTATGCACTTTATATGCCTCACTAAGTCCATGACTTAGTGTGTGAGTGTTTCACACATAGGTAAAAAGAAGCAGGAAGAATAAAGTTAAGATCAGAAAAGACAATATATCTCTACCAGAAGATCAGATCAGATCAGAAGTAATTTACACAGTATGTATTTTGTTGTAATAAATTTGTTGGCATGTAACTAAAGGTGTGAATGACATATGCTCTGATCACTTCTGTAAACATACACTATTATATTTATGTGGATTATTGAATTTTCATTTTCAAAATAAGTTGAATTCTGTTTATTTATTTTTGATTAAAGGTTCCACCCATTTTTATATTAATGACGGTTTAATTTTTCAATTATCGTATAAAGGTACATGTTTTGAAAAGTCAATATGACACCTCAGATTTGTATCCGGGTCAGATACGGGTTGGGGGTGTTACATTTAATGGTATCAAAGCTAAGGTTTAGCCGATTCTAGGAATAAACCGAAGTCAAAAGTGTTTTAAAAAGTATACATGTCAACTAAAGAGTGAAAAATTCTCATCTGATAGTGTAATGAATATGTTGTCTTAGCTAATAGAGTTAAATGTTATTATCTTATTAGATGTCGATTACGAGAGCTCCCGAAGTGAAGCAGGAGATGAAAGACAAGAAGGTAGTAGTAATTCACCTGCCCTGGCCAGGCAAGGTGAAGAGCAGACACCTCAAGGAGTGTTTGTACAAGATCAGAGAGTGTTTTTAGGATGTTGGATGCTATTCTGATGCGTTTCCAACTGTCTGTTCCCTCAACTCCTAGAATGAATATCGCGAAAAAGTTGAAAAGATTATGAGCTCCTGAATTCAAGGGTGAAGCTGAGGAAGGTCATGTTGTTGCGGACCTTTGATTAAATAACGTTAAGATCATGTTGGAGAGTCTCCACTGTTCTGAAGTGGAGATGTTAGATAGAGTGGTCTCTTTGCTATGAGGGCAAGCTCGGGTATGGTGGACTAATGTCACCATGAGAATGTCGAGTGACCAAGTGACATTGTCTTTGTTCCTATAAGAGTTTAAGCACAAGTATATTGGGGACCAGTTTATTAAGCAAATGAAGCAAGAATTTCTGAGCCTGAAACAAGGGAATTGTACTGTGTATGAGTACGAGTGTGAATTCAATAAGCTGGGTAGATTTTCTGTTGAGCTGGTTCCGACTAAAAAAAATGTTTGTGATTGGTTTGTTGAGGGCTTACGCCCAGGTTGAAAGAATTATTAATAGTTTTAAATTATCCCCATTCCAAGAAGTGGTTAACAGTGCTAAAGCTCTTGAGAGAAGTTAGAATGATAGGTTTGGAGAACAAAAAGCTCAGATGTCCAAGAGAGATGATGCTTTGTTGAGTTCATCACCATCAAAGAGGGGCAAAGATTCTGATTTTTGATCTTAGGCGAGATATGTGTCAGCTGCATGGCTGTCAGAGGATCAAATCCATCGAGAGTAAGACAGACTCAATCAGTAGGGCCTAGAGCTAAAAGATTGAATCCGAGTCAATTGAGACAGTGTTAACATTGTGTAAAGAATCATACCAGAGTTTTTTAGGTAGTTTCCGGAGCCTGTTTTAGATGTGGGGACACTAGACATTTTATCAATGATTGTCCAATGATGATGATGAGAGAGCCTGCATAATCTGAACGACATGTTTCGATATATCAAAAAGGTAGGGGACAAGAAAGGAATCAGTCTGAATCGTCTATTCAACTTGAGATGTGTTCTATTTCCTGAGTTTACAATATTAAGACCAATGAAGATCGGATGATCTGGAGGTCATTGTAGGTACTTTTCACTTATGCACTAAATTTGTTTTGGTATTGATTGATCTGGGTTCAACTATTCATATATTAGTAGCAAGTTGGTGGGAGAGTTGAGAATCCAACTAGAAGCAACAAGTAACAATGTGATAGTGACTAACCCATTAGGGTATAATGCTTGGGTAAATCGAGTGTGTCGAGGGTGTCCCACAAGGATTCAGGGAATTGAATTCCCTGCTAATATGATGGAATTACCCTTTCATGAATTTGAAGTAATTCTGGGTATGGATTGGTTATATCATTATCATGCCAATATTAACTGTAAACTGAAGAGAGTAATTCTGGGTATGGATTGGATCATAAGTGATTGTGATCAGTTAAGAAGTTATAGTTGCAATGATGTCAAGGTTTCATTGCTAATGTAATTGATACTCATGTTAAGAAAAGAGGACTAGAGGATATTTCGACGGTCAGAGAATTTCCTAATGTTTTTCCAGCTGAGTTACCAATATTACCTCCAGATAGGGAAGTTTAGTTTTAAATTGAGGTAATGCCTAGAACAACACCGATTGCAATGACCCCTTATCAAATGGCTCTGAAAGAATTGAGTGCGTTAAAGACTCACTTACAACAGTTATTGGATAAGGGATTTATCAGACCTAATATGTCACATTGGGGAGATTCAGTATTGTTTGTAAAGAAGAAAGATGGGTCTATGCGTCTCTGCATTGAATATCAACAGCTCAACAAGGTAACAATCAAGAACAAGTATCATTTCCCCATAATCGATGATTTGTTTGATCAGTTAAAAGTAGCATTAGTATTCTCTAAGATCGATTTGCGCTATGGTTATCATCAATTGAAGATTCAGGAAATAGACATTCCAAATACGACTTTTAGGATGAGATATGGTCATTATGAATTTATCGTTATGTTGTTTGGGTTAACTAATGCACCTGTTGCGTTTATGGATCTAATGAATAAAGTATTTCAACCCTATCTTGATAAGTTCATGGTTATCTTCATCGATGATATTCTGGTTTATTCAAAGTATAATGAAGAGCATGACGCAAATCTTAAAATAGTACTTCAAACTTTATGAGATAAAAAGCTATATGATAAACTGTCTAAGTGTGAGTTTTGGTTAACTGAAGTGATATTTCTTGGTCATGTGGTATTTTTAGATGGGATTTGGGTATATCCTCAAAAGATAAAAGCAATATTAGATTGGGAAATTCCAAATAATGTGTCAGGAGTTCAGAGTTTCCTAGGTCCTGCAGGTTATTATCGAAGGTTCGTTAAAAACTTTTCGATGATAGCCTTGCCTTTGACTAAGTTAATGAGGAAAAATGTATCTTTTTCTTGGACCCATGAATGTCAAGAGAGTTTTAAAGCATTAAAGGGAATTTTGACAGAAGCTCCAGTATTAGTCTAACTCGAATCTGGCAAGAACTATGTGGTTTACAATGGCGCGTCCTATAATGGCTTGGGATGTGTATTGATGCAAGAAGGTAAAGTAATGACATATGCATCGAGGAAATTGAAACTACATGAGAAGAATTATCTGACACATGATTTTGAGTTGGTTGTAGTAGTATTTGCTCTCAAGATATGGCGTCAGTACTTATATGCTGAACGTTGTTACTTTTATACAGATTACAAGAATTTGAAGTATTTGATGATTCAAAAAGGGTTAAATTTGAGGCAGCGAAGATGGGTTGAGTTCCTCAAAGATTATGATGTGGTAATTGACTTTCATCCCAGAAAAGAAAATGTGATAGTTGATGCTTTGATTCGGAAAACGTTCTCAGCTTTACAAGCTTTAGATGTGAAGTTATCATTAAATGGAGGTGGTGCATTATGTGCAGAATTAAAACTTAAGCCTACACTATTGGATTGAATTAAAGACTTACAAGATAAATATGGTATGTGTTTGAAAAGAAGGGAACAAGTGAAAAATGAGGAGAGTAAGGATTTTGAAGTTAAGTCCGATGATAATTTGTATTATCGGGGAATACTGGTGATTCCATAACATGAGGAATTAAAGAATGACTTGTTATCAGAAACTCAATATAGTCCTTTGATGATGCAACCAGGTGGAAACAAGATGTACAAGGATCTTGAAAGTCGTTATTGGTGGCCAGGAATAAAAAAAGCATTACGGAATTTGTGTCCAAGTGTTTGACGTGTCAACAAGTTAAAGCTGAGCATCAAGTTCCTTCAGGATTGTTACAACCAATCTCCATTCCTCAGTGGAAATGGGAGAATGTGGCGATGGATTTTATAGCATGGTTACCTTTGACTTCGAACAAAAGAGATTCAATTTAGGTGATAGTTGATCTATTGACCAAGTAAGCACATTTTATTTCCTTTCGAGCTGATTTCTCTATGGATAAGTATGCTAAATTTTATATCAAAGAGATTATTCGATTTTATGGTGTACATATTTCGATTGTTTCTGACCGAGATCCAGGATTCACATCAAGATTTTAGAAGACTTTGCATGGAGCCTTAGGAACTTGATTGAACTTTAGTACAACCTTTCACCTTTAAAACGATGGACAGTCTGAGAGAACTATTCAAATTTTGGAAGATATGTTAAGAGCTTGTGTAATCGAGTTCAAAGGATCTTGGGAAAAGTATTTGCCACTTGCCGAATTTGCTTACAACAATAGTTATCAGTCAAGCATTAAGATAACTCCCTATGAAGCTTTATACGGGAGAAAATGCCGTACACCATTGAACTGGCATGAGCTCAAGGATCGGGATATTCTTTGTCCTGACTTGATTATGGAAGTAGAAGAAAAAGTTCAAGAGATTCAACATAATCTCAAAGTGGCATCCGATAGGCAGAAGTCTTATGTTGATTTAAAGAGGAAATAGATTGAGTTTGAAGTTGGAGATAAAATATTTCTAAAAGTATCTCCGTGGAAAAAAGTTTTACATTTTGGCCGAAAATGAAAACTTAGTCCCAGATTTATTAGGTCATATGAGATTGTTAAGAGAGTGAAACTAGTGGCATATCAATTAGCTTTGCCACCATAAAAGAAGAAGATTCATAATGTTTTCCATATTTCAATGCTTCGAAGATATCGATCTGATCATTCTCATATCATTGCACCAGATGAGATAGAAGTTCAACCTGACTTGACTTATAAGAAAGAACCAGTGCAGATTTTGGAATATGAAGTTAAGCAGTTAAGGAATAAAATGATTACGTTGGTTAAAGGTTTGTGGAGGAATCATAAAGTAGAGGAATCAGCATGGGAACGTGAAGAAGATCTGCGTAGATAATTTCCCCATCTTTTTGTGCAATGAAAATTTGAGGACGAATTTTTTAAGGTGGGGAGATTTGTAACATCCAAAAACTGGGCTAGGGACTAAAGTATAAGATTTTAAAACTTTGTGACTAATTTCACAAAATTGAAAAGTTTGGGGAGTTAATTTAAAATTATTGGTGTAGGTTGATTTATAAAGTTTGAAAGAGGAAGGGGCATAATGGTCAGCAAGGAAATGAATTTAAAATTCATTTATTGGGTATTATATATCCACGTGGAAGGGAAATGAGGGGTAAAAAGGAAATACAAAATTCTCTCCATCTTTCTTCTTCTCTTCTCTATCGTGAGCTCCATAACTAAGGTAATAATTCTTTCGGTTGGTTATTTATTGTAAGCTATGAGTGGCTTGGATTCTTGGAGTATTAGGAAAGCTTGAGAAAGCTTAAAGAGAAGTATAAACTAAAAGAATTACAAGTTATGGGTGATTAAGTAAAGGGGCTTTTGAGTGAATTGATGAGAAAGAGTTATTAAATGGATTTTGAAGTCATATTTGACTTGTCATAAACTGAAATAAGAAATCTAAAGTGTTAGATATGAATTTGGGACATGTTGTTTAATTGGTATGATTTTGGGTTCCAAGTATTCTAGTGAGATATTGGATATTTAGATGTGTTAAAGTGATATAAATTGATTTGAATAAGTGTAGTTGAATTTAAAGGCTTTAAAGGAGAGTAAAGTGAGAAATTTAGCTAAGCTTTGGGAAATTTTCAGGTTAAAATGAGTAAGTTCTGGGCAAGGGGTATTGGCAAAATGAGTAAAATCTGGGTTGGATATCGATACTGTAAGAACAATATCGATACCATAAAGTAAAATTTGATGAATGCTTTAATCAGTATCGATACCGAAAGAGTAGCATCGATATCAAGGGTATCGATACTAATGGAAATATATCGGTACCATTTTTAGAAATATAATTCCATAATCTAGAAATGGTATCGATACTGAAGTAAAGTATTGATACCACAGTGAGGAAGTATCAGTACTGTACCTTGGGTACCGATACTAATCAAATCGAAATTGAGAATTAAGTGCTTCGTTTAGCCTATGTTATTAAGGATTGATTATTGTTAAACAAATTTATGATATTTATAGCAATCGTATTATTGTGTAGATATTGAACGAATGCAAGTTCAGAACGATTCTAAAACATAAGATCAATAAAGAGTTCTAAGTGTTTATCTTGACTAAGTGAGGCTAAGGTGAGTGCATATTACTATATTATAAGATTATATGGAAATAAGACTTGCGATGAGTCTATTTCCAATGTTTTGATTTCATGATTTCATGAATACTAGTTTATTGTTGGCATGGTTTATATGTGTACATAAATACAAGCATATGCCTAAGTGTTATATGCATTGTTCTACATGATGTATGTGTTACATGTCATCCTACGTGTTACATGACCTATGTGATTACATGAAAAAATGATATAAGCTATGTGGCGTTGAACTACATGATTATGTGAAAATATGATATAAGTTATGTGACATGGTCTATGTGACTAATTGACTATATGATATAAGCTATGTGAAATGGTATAAATGATAGAGCCCAAAAGTATGTCATATGAGAGCTAAAGGAATAATTGGCATGCCAAGAGTCGAGGGTTCTACGCTGTCCTTCAGGAAAATTTTACGTGGCCATTCGGAACATTTCTACGCGGTCCTTTGGGACAATGCTATATGGCACTTCGGTGAAATTTCTACGCTGTACTTCGGTGCAATTTATATGAGTTGTAGTGACAACATTAGTTCAATACCTCAATGCTCTAACATACCTTAAGTTCTCAATGATGTATGTAAAACTATGTTTCGATATAACAAATTAAGCCAAAATGTTTTTTTGGACTTGAATTGAATTTATTCAAAGTTTTTCAAAGATTTCAAAAATAATTCAAAGTTCGTTTAAATTGGAATTGAGCACAAAATAGAAAGCAGTACCGATATTGTTCTTTTCAGTATCGATACCACATGAACGGTATCGATACTGTTCTTATGGTATCGATACCATAGGCAAAGGTAATATCGATACCATCAAGGTAGTATCGATACTACCATGAAGGCTCGTATTCCAGAATGCAAAATTGGTACCGATACCATGTAAGGGTATCGATATCATAGTGCAAAGTAGAAGCGATACCCCTTAGAGAATATCGATACTACAAGGCTCTAACGGCTAGCAACGACTAACTAAATTTGAATTTAACAAAGGTAGTACCGATACCCCATAGTGGAGTACTAATACTTCTAGTTCTGGATAACCTTATTTTGCAGAAAATTAATCCTCAATGGCTCCAAAACATCCCCAACTGTTATATACGACTTTAAACTCATTCCAACCTATAAAAACAAGTTGATGACACTTGAAGAAGGAAGAGAACACCTATCCAAGCAATTAAACACAAAAGAAGAGTTTTTCAATCTTATTTCATCTTTCTATTGTAAATATATTTTTCTTATGAGCTTAATTCTTGTAAACAGCTACCTTAGAGAGGTTTTCTTGTTTACATTTTGTTTCATTGTAAAGGGATTTTGGTTCTAGCTTAGCCTGCTAAAAGCTAGGAAAAGGTTCTAGTTTAGCCCGTGAAAAACTAGGGAGTTTGTAAAGGTTGTCTATTTGTCCTGTAAAAAGAAAGAACAAATTAGTGAATTTGTTAGAAAATCCTTGGTGAGGAGCTAAGGTAATGGATGTAGACTTGGTTGAGAAGTCAAACCACTATAAATCGCTGGTAATTTTCTATCTTTCAATCTCCTTACTCCCTAAATACAAGGACTGACTCGACCCCTCTTAACGAACCCTTTCGGTTGTCGATTTGAGTTTCCACAAATCCTAATAATTGGTATCAGAGCTTAACTCGTTAGAAGGTTTAACCACCTTGAGACGATCCTCAAAGAAGATCTACCAATTTCTGAAACAACAGAGAAGATGGCTTCTACCTTCGGCTCGTTCAACATGGAAGACTCCCTACCAACTGACAATCCTCCATACTTTAATAGAGCCAACTACCGACATTGGAAGAAATTAATGAAGTTATTTATCCAAGCCAATGATCTTGATGCATGGGAGATGATCGAGAACATATACTCTTCTCCAAAGAAGAAGGAGAAGAAGTGGAGTGACCAAGAACGAAAGAAAGCTCAACAAAATGTCAAGGCCATACATATGGTGTTTTGTGCATTTGGTCCTGAAATCTATGAAGGAGTTTCTTCGTGTTCAAGTGCCAAGGAGCTTTGGAATAAGCTCGAGGAAATCCATGGAAACAAGAAAGAAGAACCAACAAAGGTGGTGTCTTTAATGGCTCGTCAAGAGCCCGAGGTATCTTCTAACTCAAATGAATTAAATTCATGTTCTTTTGATGAGTTACAATATGCTTATAATGTGTTTTATTTGGGATATAAGACCATGAATTCCAAATATAAGAAATTCATTTCAAAACATAAAAATAAAAATAGTTTGGTTTTGAATGAAAAAGTTGATTTTGAAAATCAAAATGAAATTTTCCAAATTAATTTAGAGGTTTCAAAAGTCAAAATCAATGATTTAGAAAAAGAAAATTTTG